CCCCCCCCCCAATCTCAGGCAGATGTAAAAATGTTCCCATCCACACAGCCCCTAATATGACCGCGCAGTCCAAACAGAACCGGAATCACAACCAGTGCTCTCAGACACCCCCTTCCCTGTCCGCATTACAGGTCTGTGTGAGGACTCTGGTACTGAGGGGTGTGGCTGTCACTCAGCTCTGCCAGTACAGAGCACTGGGATGAAAGGGCTGGAAGCAGCATCTTCCCTAAGAATAAATGTCATCGGGGGGGATGTCCTCTAATTACATTCCTGCGGGATCATTGTGTCATTGTAATGTTGAGCTTGTCCCATGGAGTCCATAGTCATCCTACATACAAGCTAGGATGGATGGTCCCTGCGTGGCCCTTGACACCGCTCGTTCCACATTTGTTCCTCTGATTATGGCGACCGACCCATCCGTCTTGGCTAGGGATGAGCTTGGGTTTGGTCTGATCCCAGCTCACCTGAACCTGGAAGTTTGGTGTCAGTGCACACCCAATCAGCTGCAGCCAGGGGCATATCCCCGCCCCCCAGCTGCATGTAAACAAAGGGGCGGGATGCTGGTGACATAACTGACCTTAGATGGGCATATTAGGTCAGTGTCATGCCTAGTTTATATGTAGGACAGAGGGGAACGCTCTGCTGGTTTTATGCCCAGGCTTTGCAGAAGTCATGCTTGGACTACATGTATGCTATTTAAGGGAAAAACCCCTCAATTTCTCCACATTACACAATGATTCGGAGATGTTTGGGACTGCAGGTAAATGTTATTCTACAGGTGTACTAACCCTTTAAATGAAGCGTGTCGGCTCCCATTGTTCCAGAGAGGGAGTCATGTGTTGGCAGCCGGGACACTTCTCGTGATGTTTGTTTACGTTGTCGGGAAGTTTAGAAATGATCCAGTCGCTGCGAGACCTCTTTCCCCCCCATAAGTAACGGAGGCTGGTATTCTACCCGCTGGCATGGCTGTGCCTGCTGCTGCCGCCACCTGTGGTCACCGTGCCGGTTATACCGGGCCTAAAATATTCCAGCAATACTGAAGTGCGGGAACCTTGTGGTGATCGGGGTACATTACACAACTGATTCTTATGGGGCCCTCTAGTTCCTAGACTCAGGCTGTACATTGGGGGAGGGGCCTCTGCTTCTCCCAAAATAAATTGGAACTATAGCTCTGTGCTGTCAATTGTATTGGAACTATAGGCAGCAGGCAGAAATGAGAGTTAGACTCCGTTCACACCGGGGCGGTCCGGCCGCACAGATCCGCCGATATGAACGATCCCATACATTGCAATCCAAACTGCTCCCTGCGCTATTTTTGCCGCGCTGATCAGTGCAGTTTCCATACAGCTTTCAATGGAACCACACTGATTAGCGCATTTTTAATTGCGTTTCAGCGCTGAAACGCAATTACACTCCCAAAACCTCCCTTTTGAGATCAGCTCGGTAACCGCACTGATACGCAACCGCCCTGGTGTGATTGGGCTCTTAAGATGCAGTCCGTCAGTAGCATTACCACAGCAGTTCTTGTTTTACTGACTCCTACTGATGATCCTTCCAGTAGATCCGCTATTATCCTGTTACCTGTAACAGGGTGACAACGCAATTTGTTCTGCAGTAAAGTCACACACTGGTGTTGTCACCTTGTGGACTGGATACTTTTAGATGGTAGTTTTAATGGACTTTAGTTAACACAGAAATTAAAGCCTAACTCAATGCAGTTGAAGCTGTTACAGCAACATATTTTTTTGTTTGTAAAGGTGTTTAAACCGTATAAATAAAAGCAAACTGTTGTAAGCACCCCTGTCAGTGTAAATGGTTTGTTCCAACCCTCAGTCCTATCACTTTTGCTGTACTTTGACCTATTAGAGGAGAACTATTGTGAGAATCATATACACTCTTCCCAATACAGAAGTTAGAACCGATGTGTGGCACTGCAGCTGTCACATGTCGGCTCTATAGATGGAGAACTGAGCGATCACATACCGCTGATCTCTCAGACAGAGGGGGGCGGGCACAGATGGCTCTGGATCTAGAGAGGCAGAGCCAGCTGTCAATCAGGCAGTGGTGTGGATCCTGACAACATTGCCAGAGTCTTTCCTGGCTGCGGCGCGGCTCTGTGCTGCCAGCAGAAAGCGGGCAGTAGTCCACTATATGCTGAGTTTTGGGTCACAGGAGGACATTAAAGTACTCCTGTGACTCTAAGCCCTCATTCACGCGAGTAACAGCCGGCCCATACAGATCCATGCTGCGTGCACGGCTGTATCGGGTGCTGTGTGTGATTGGTACGCAGCAGCCTGTTCTTCCTTCTCTATGGGAGTACACGGCTGTACGCTCACCCGCCCTGCACATCTGTGCGGGTGTCAGTGCTCGGACACAGACAGGATCCATCTATAAATTCCATCCTGTCTGCGTATGAGTACGGGCACCCACACGGCCGTGCAGTTTGGGTGAGCATACGGGCAAAAAAGATTCCCTTTTAAAGGCCTTAAACAATTTAATAGCCGACCGTACGAAACTAAAGCTTGGTACACACAGGCATCATTCACACGGGCAACGGTCCGGATGAACGAATCGCCCGCTCTGTACATTGTATTCCCGAACAGTGCTTGTAGCTTATTGGCTACTGTCTCTGTCTACCCAAAAACTTTCACTCCAGCTCCTCCAGGGCCGGTGCACACCTAGGCGACACCTCACCGCGAGGCAATCGTGCACAATTCTGTGCGGATTGCCGCGCGGTCCTGAGGAGTCGCCTAGGTGTGATCCGATGTCGCTGTGGGTGCCATTATTTTCTTATTTTATTTTCTAATGGCACCCCAGTCACGCTGGGCGGATTGCGCCGTTTCCCGCCACTATTCCGCTAAAACAGCCGTGCGTCGTGTATTGCAAAAAAAAGGTACTTGTAAATTTTTTTCTGTGATTGCCGCGCTAATGTCACCCAATTGAAATCAATGGGGCCGCTCGGCAATCGCTGCCTGCATTGTGCAGGACCGCGCGATCCCGGATCGTGGAGGTCTGCACCGGGCCTCCATCTTTTGGCGGAAGGGTGGCGACGGGCCGCTCACTGCAAATCTTTGCAGATTCATTGATACCCGGCTGGAATTTGTATAGTGTATGGCCAATTGTGTTTTTTAGCGCCATGTTTGTCCCGGATGCAGAGGGGCCTCTGACATGTCCCAGGCTTGGTGATATAAATACTTCTATCAAGCAGCTAGGCGACTGGTATTTTCAGAAGGTCAGCATCGGCAGTTCACATTTCTTCTATGACACGCGTACATCAATCCACCGTTTGTTTCTCGGCCTGGCTGGTTGTCTTGTGACTCATAAGAAGAGACACGAGCCACAGATGTGTGAAACTTGCTTGGGTCGGGTCATATAGGAAGAGATTTTCTCAGATTGCATCAGTCTGATGCTCCATCACAGCTGCTCTAAGGACACGTACACCCAACAAAAGTCTGAGTATTCATTTCAGTTTCTACACCGGGGGGGGGGGGGGCCCTCCAGCTGTTGTGGAACTGCAAGTCCCATGATGCATTGCAAGACACTGGCAGGCACAGGCGTGACTTCCAGAGGCATGATGCTAACTGTAGTTTCCCCACAGCTGGAGTCCAGAGGTAGCCTACCCCTGGCCTATACTAGAGTTATTTTTAATGCCATCTTTGTTCTGCCAGTATAACTCCCAGTGGGCTGATCATCTTCAGCGGCATTACAGGGAAATAGAACTACAGTTGCACTGCTCCAGTCTAAGTAATGTCCCGTCTGTGCGTCATAAATAATTGATGAATCTTTATTTTTCCAATAAAATGCTTATTTCCCCATCTCTGTGCTGCTGATCTCCTACTTCCTGTCTATATGCGCTCACTCTAGCATCAGGTGCACATCATTGCTCTGGACCAGCATCCTGGAGATGTGTCCTCAGGGGTCTCCCAACAAGTCCACCCTCATAACAGGAAGTGCCTGGACATGGATGGCGGGATCACCACGGTTACTTGAATCTAAGCTGAAATGACATCAGCAGGCTGAAGCTTATATGGGATTTTAGTGATTGGGTTTCGATCTACCTGCATGTAGAATGTGATTAGTAGATTTGTTTATAATGAGTTTGATGTCTTCCTTTCCAGATATGGCGCCCCTTTACCTCCACGTTTTACTTCCCCGTGGGCCCCGGGACGGGCTTCCTGTACATGGTCAACCTGTATTTCCTCTATCAGTATTCAACGCGACTTGAAACAGGTAACTGATGTTCCCATGTCCTGGGCTGAATGTAGAAAGCTGAATGAAGTGAAGACACGGTTGAAATGCATCACTGGTCATTAGGGCTCGTATGCACCAGCCAACACACTAAAGGTGCCAATAGATTTTAATTCGAAAAATCATCAGAACACTCGTTATCGCCATCGGAGATTTGATTGGAGTTCATAATTTCTCTAGTCACCTTCCAGGACAGCATTAGAGAGATAGGCTCCTCCCACCGGAACAGGAAACACATCACCCACACTTAGAATAAAAAGGAGCACAAGCCTAGCACGCTTCAGTTTTCTATAATTCTATGAACGAGTTGCACTATGGTATCCTTCGGTTCTTATGTTTTAACTGAAGCGTGCTAGGCTTGTGCTCCTTTTTATTCTAAGTGTGGGTGATGTGTTTCCTGTTCCGGTGGGAGGAGCCTATCTCTCTAATGCTGTCCTGGAAGGTTCCTAGAAACAGTTACCAGGTATGTAACTCCAATTTTTGTTTGTTTGCCACATTCATTGTTAGAATTTTTGTTTGTTAAAAAAAAAAAAAAAAAAATTCCACCCTGATATTCCACTTGGTGGCTGAGTTCCTGTTGTTCCCAGTTGCTTCCACTTTGTTATAATACCACTAACAGGTGACCGTGGAATATTTAGTAGAAAGGAAATTTCATGGAACACCTGATGCCAATGATCTGGAGGGGTGTCCCAATACTTTTGGCAATATAGTGTGTCTATTATTATTCATTTTACAAAATGCTACTGGTGTAGGGTCTGTTCGATGAGTTGGTATTTCCTTTTTTTGAGGGGTCACTAATTGTCACTTCATTAAAGTCCTATGTACCGCAGCGCGTTCACCTCAGTGTTATGGTGGGAACAGGGCACATGGACAACACTTGGCTTGCACAGGTCTGCACAACTCAACTGATCTGCTGTGAATGAGCCCTAAAGGTTTTGAGGGATAAGTGCACCTTGTTTGAAAAATTATTTCTGCTGCCATTTTCCTTCCCTTTCATCATTGTGTTGTTCCAACCACCCCTAGTCACTTTGCAGTCACGTCCACTACCTGAGGGCTTTGTTTACATCCCAATGCTGGTCTTCCCTGTGCCAGTGCAGTAGCTTCCCTGAGGCCCCATTCACACATAGATGTAGTGGGAATGCGCGTCACAGCGATGCATGTTCCTGGCCGTTTGTTTCCTATGTAGTAAATTCTGTAACAAGCATTATACATTTGCTTGGCTGCGTTTGGGGCGACTTATCAAGTAATGACACCGCAAGCGCGTTTAGTGAACACTCATCAGAGTGTGCACTTTTGTGATATGCATTCCTGATTTTACTATGGTGTGAGCAGAGACTCGGGGTTCTATGGGACTGATGAAGACACTTGGGAGATGGCTCCATAGAACAGGAAGTGCTATTATAGGCTGCAGGTAGGTGTGCATTTGGGGAGGGGGAGACTAGGGTAGCATGGTAGGTAGTGGGGACAAGTGCACTTTGTTTGAAACACCACTTATCCTGAAATCTGTATTTAACTGAACCCGTCTGTTTCCATCCATCATAGTGTTCCTCTCTGTTTTCTAGGTGCGTTTGATGGAAGACCTGCAGATTACATGTTCATGCTCCTGTTTAATTGGATTTGTATTGTTGTATCCTTTTAATTGAAAAGAAAACTCTGAATGGGCCGGGGCCGTGTTTATAATAATTGGTTTACCCAAACTGCTAGAGATGTGCTTTCTTGTGTGTCTCTGGGTTCAGGAATCTCCTGTAGACCCCTATCATGGTTTGTCTGGGTCCAGAAATCTCCTGTAGCCCCCTATCTTGGTTTCTCTGGGTTCAGAAATCTCCTGTAGACCCCTATGGTGGTTTGTCCCGATCCAGAAATCACCTGTAAACCCATATCATGGTTTGTCCGGGTTCAGAAATCTCCTGTGGACCCCTATGGTGGTTTGTCTGGATCCAGAAATCTCCTGTAGACCCTTATCATGGTTTGTCTGGGTTACAGAAATCTCCTGTAGACCCCTATGGTGGTTTGTCTAGGTTACAGAAATCTCCTGTAGACCCCTATGGTGGTTTGTCTGGATCCAGAAATCACCTGTAAACCCATATCATGGTTTGTCTGGGTTACAGAAATCTCCTGTGGACCCCTATGGTGGTTTGTCTGGATCCAGAAATCTCCTGTAGACCCTTGTCATGGTTTGTCTGGGTCCAGAAATCTCCTGTAGACCCCTACGGTGGTTTGTCTGGGTTACAGAAATCTCCTGTAGACCCCTATGGTGGTTTGTCCAGAAATCTCCTGTAGGCCCCTATCTTGGTTTCTCCGGGTTCAGAAATCTCCTGTAGACCCCTATCTTAGTTTTCTTCACATAAGAATAGAGAGCCCCAGATACCCTGCTAACCACGAGCTGGGAACTCAAATTCATTCATCTTAAAGTGTATTTCCACTTTTGCAGTCAAATTTGAGAAAACTCCTCTATATGTTTTGAGGTTCTTTTCACACAGAATACCTCAAATAATAAAATATATAATCTCTCACCTTGTTTAGATGTCTCTGTAGCCTTAGGAGCATCTCTCTACAAATTTAAAGTGACAGTAAACTCTGCCCCTAGAGAAAGAGAATACGGACACTCTGACCTCCCTCTCATTATCATACAATTCTTCTAGATCTGTAACCCTTTGTTGGGACAGACCGTGTTCAAATCTAGTTTACAACTGCTAATGAGATCTGCCAGCACAGCACAGATGGGGTTAATTAGGTAACCTCCCCATCATGCTTTCATTCCAGGGGGAAATTCAGTTTAAAGGTGCCCATACACTGCACGATTCTCGTACGAGAATCGCGGGAAATCCCACCATCGTACGAGAATCGTGCAGTGTATGGAAGGCGTGCGACCGTTTCTACTGTACGGTCGCACGTCTTCCGTCGAACCAGCATGCTAGAAACCCCGCCGGGAATTGTACGATTCTCGGCGAGTTAGTGGCCTGCTGGTTCGACAACTGCCGAACGGGCCGGTGTGCGCACACTGCCCGTTTGCAGTCATTGTAAGCTCGCCCCTCATTGCAGTCATCGGAAGCCCGCCCCTCATTACAGTCATCGGAAACCCGCCCCTCATTACAGTCATCGGAAGCCCGCCCCTCGGGGCGGGCTTGCGATGATCGAGAGTACGATCTGCCTGTCCAAGATGGGCAGATCAGACGTTTTTTTAAGTACTTTACAACCATCGCAAGACTAAGGTCTTGCGATGGTTGTACAGTGTATGGCCACCTTAAGGCCCCGTGTATGCCTATATAATTTAGGTGCGATTAGGGATTCCTGCTGCAGGAAAACGCAAGTTCAAGTGGCAGCTGTCACCTGTCGCAGTAAGGGCCAGTGCACACCTATGCGACACCCCACCGCACGGGCAATTGTGCACGATTCCGCGCGGATAGGATTATTTTCCAATGGCACCCCAGTAGCGCTGGGCGGATTGCAGGGTTTCCCCGCTGCGGTTCCGCCCGTGCTTCTGAACACAATCGCGGCTAAAACAGCCGCGTCGTGTATCGCAGAAAAAAGGTACTTTGTACCACGTGCACGATTGTCGTGGGGTGTCGCATAGGTGTGTACCACCCCTAATAGTCAGGGTTCAGCTGCTGCATTTGAACGCCGGCACACTGCATGGTAGGCATGTGGTTATGAATCAATCACTCTCCCTGGATGCATCAATCGGAATCCCCAATCACACCTAAAGGCATAGGTGTGAATGGGACCTAAAGGGTAGGTTTTCCTCATTACAAAATGTGAAAAAATAAACAAACTTCCAGCCCCCCTTCACCTCCCCAGATCCCTACTGTAGGGGCCAGTCCGTACATCGCATTCCACAGCCCTGCAGTCTGTAATGATCACAGTGCACATAAATGGCAACACTGACCAATGAGAAGCACTTGTGAGCCGGGAACCAGGTCCCAGAAGTAGCAAGTGCTTCTCGTTGATCACCGTGGTCATGTGACTGCTGACCAACGAGTGTGCGCCATTTGCGAGCATTGTGATCATTACAGACCGTGGGGCTGTGAAGTACGGTGTATGGACCGCTACACCAGCTGGCAGGTGAGTACAGTGGGGACCGGGGGGAAGTTGGGGTGCTGCGAGTTAGTTCATTTTTTTTGTTCACATTTTGTAAAAAGGCGAACTTACACTTTTTAAGAGAAACTTTCAGAAAGAGCGAGTAATATGTAGGGATTTCTTATTGTAATGTGAACATGTAACAAATATAAAGCAGTCGTTCTCCTAATTTGGCTGTACAAAGTGTAAATACTCATCTGTAAAGGAACAGATAAGCCTATGGATATTCCGCTCTCCAGCGTGATGGTTTTTGTGATTGTCTCTTCTGTCCTCAGTTTATCTGACACGTCTGAACCAGGATGGGATGGAGCTTGCCTTTAATTCAGCCCCAAAACTGATCACAAGTGAATGTCAGGGGTGGGCAACCTTGGGAACTCCAACTGTGCTGACTCTACAAATCCCATCATGAGTCATGCCTGTGGCTGTCAGTCTTGCAATGTCTCATGGGACTTGTAGTTCCTCAACAGCTGGAGTGTAGAGGTTGCCTACCCCTGTTCTAAGTTATCATAGATGTGAGAGGGCTAACAAAACGATCCCATTGCATGTGTGGCAGCTAGGCATATCATCTGTTTGTCTGTGTAATTTGTATAGTCACTTGTGGGTGGATTCAGCTCTCTGCCTGAGCAGTAGTACACATATCCATCTTTATTGATCTCTGCTCTATTTTGTGTTCACTATCCCTTTACAATCTAAGCATGGTTTCTAAGTAAAAAGTCTTTTTCTCTGAAGATGAGTTTCCCTTAACATTGTGACGTTAGATAACCGGAGTGATAATGGACATGCAGGTAAGTGTATTTATTCAGTCCTTCTTAGAGTATGTACACGCTATGACCCCATTCACACGGGGCGGCAGAGGATATCTATGGATTCTTATGTCAGGAGTCCTGGGTGGCTCTGTACAGATGTGGCCGCTGTACCCGTTCAAATTAACGTCAGTCTGTATGTAATCCTACATGGAATGATTACCTGCAGATTGGGCTACATGATTGTCCCTGGATACAATCTGTCTGCATCCGGGGATGATGACATTTAACATATTTGTTCCAGATCATTGGCTACTGAAGGCATCAGCATGACTACTAAGCATCTAGCACTCTCGGACATTGTTATCTCATATGGCAGGTGCACTTTAACCTCCCTGGCGGTATTCCCCGAGTGTGGCTTGGGGTTAATTTTCAGTACAAAGAGCGGTAACCCCGAGCTACACTTGGGATTGCACAAAAGTGTCACTTTGTCCCTACGAGCCCACGGTGTCCTTTGCTGTACGTGGCCGGCCGATGCCGCAATCTGACTTTTAGTTTTGTTTTCGGCGTCACAGCGGGGGGCGGAGTGAAAACATGCAATATACACACAATACAATGTAATCTGCTAGGATTTACATTTATGTATCAAACCATTTCACTTCAATTTTGTCCAGTGCCCTGCCTGCACTTTTACTCTTCTTTCTGCCTGGAAACTTCAGAACGTCCATGGCATCCAAAAAGCGTCCCTTTAGGTCGCAAGCGGTTTTAGACAAGGTAGGAAACAGCGATAGTAAATTAGAATCACTTGCAGAATTGAGCGATAGCGATTCGTTGGGAAATTCGTCATCAGACACTGAAAGTGACGACCGTGACGATTCTGCGAACTTGGTACTCTATGACTGTGGTACGGATCAGGCAGCGCCCCCAGAATTCCCATTTACTGGACCATTTTTATTTATTATATTATAATTATTTATTCTATTATCATTTATCCTTTCGTTTTTCAAACTTTATCATACCAGGGATGTCTACTGGACTCTTGTTTGGACAGATTTAGTGACTTATTCCTAAGAATTACAGGCCTACAATATAAAACAAGAAATTGCCATGAAAAACAATGTACCGCTTTGGCATGCTAAAATCCTCCATAATCAGACCGCCAGGGAGGTTAAGGCGCATGCCTCTCCCCCCGGAAATCATATAGGCCGATGCGCTGTGTTGCATCACAAAGATCTGAACAGAGCGAGTTTCCTTTCATCCCGTCCCTGTGTTTGATGTGTTGTCCCTGCGGTTCCTAACCGCCGCCGGGTAGCACTTGGATGTGAACAGAGCCTAGAACAGCTCACATTACAGTTTGCCTATTCTGTGTCTCGTCATCAAAGCCAACGCAGTTTGATACTTCTGTGTAATGATGGATTTCTTTGTGCCTTCCAGTTGTTGATGATCCCTCTGATCATGTCCGTTCTGTACGTGTGGTCGCAGCTGAACAGAGATATGATTGTGTCCTTCTGGTTCGGGACGAGATTCAAGGTATGTGACCCCCAGTAATGTACACTTGTTGTATTCAGATACAGAGCTGGAAACCACTCTGGTTGGGCCCACTTGAGGGGACGGGGGTGCCCTTCCAGCTTGATGGGGTAGGGGGGGTGACAGCTAAAATTTAAAGTGTCCGGGCAAAATAGAAAAAAAAAAAATGATCTCTGTGCAATTTCATATTATCATTATCACGCGGTGTAAAATCATACTAACCTGTTTTATTTCTCTTCCTTTGATAGGCCTGCTATCTCCCTTGGGTCATTCTTGGATTTAACTATATAATTGGTGGATCGTAAGTATTTCACACTATAAAGTTTGAATCCCCTATAGAGCAGTGGTGTACATGGCCAGGATTCAAGTATTCTTTACTGCACAGCCATACCTGTCCCTGATCTGTCCTACAGTCACATGATCAGACATATCAGCCCGAAAATGGTACTTTGAGCAAAATGCCAAAAGTGCCTTTTTTTTTTTTTTTTTGGCGGGGGGGCTGAAAATGTGAGGAGACAAACGCTCGGAGATCAGGGCTGACCGCTGAGTGTTTGTAAATAATTGAGGACATCAGTTTAATGTGTCCCCAATTATAAATGAACAGGAAGTGCTCTACATCACCTCATGTTCATTCATGATTGTGGACATAGTAACTCATACAATGAATGGACAGGAAGTACTCAGTTTAGAGGCTTCCTGTTCATTCATAACATAATGGAGATTTAAGACTTTGTCCTCCAATCTCTTTCTATTTCAAAAGGGAAATATCCAGGATCGTTTTAGACGCCTGATATTTCCACAAAGCCTCCGACAGTAATGTAAAAAATAATAATTTTTTTTCCTTAAGGTTAGGGGGAAACAATCACTTTCGGTTTTGGCCGGAAAATGCTATTTTGGTGGACCTCTACTTTTTAACAGTGCACCAATGGAGAATCCGTCCGTAAATTTGTATTAAGTATTCTGTGCAATGTGATTGTGGACTTTGTGCAGACAGCCTGTTACAGGGGGAGAGGATTCAGGCAAAATCCATCGAACATGAATTGGGAGTTGTGTGTTTTTGTTTTAATGGATTACAGAAGGTTTATAATTTGTCAGGGTTTTATTGGTGTCTGTGTCCCCGTTGGGAAGATTTCCACCCACTTCCTGTCCTGGTGACCATGAGAGGAAATCTCTCCTGTGGGGCACAAGACAGCAGCAGTAACACCTGCTAGTTTCAAGCCTTTCCCTCCCTTTATTTTAGAAGTGACACTTTGGCTGCAATTCTGCTTCATATTTACTTTTGTTATTTTATTTCTTTAAGGATCACTAATGAACTGATCGGAAACTTGGTGGGTCATCTCTACTTCTTCCTGATGTTCAAATATCCCATGGATCTGGGTGGCAGAAGCTTCCTTTCCACGCCAGAGATTCTGTAAGTAAAAGGCTTTGTTTGGCATCAGGCCAATCCTTAGGTTATAAAGGGATTTCAGGTATTCTAGGGAAACAAACATCATAAAGGAACCATTCTCTTCTGTCTATGGGACGCACAGGAAAGGAGGTCGCACGCAGACCCAGCATCTTAAAGCTGAACAGACAAAAATAAATGCAGCTCAGAAATTATGATCTCACTTACATTTAAGTTCCTGAATCTGACCTTGTTACAGCCTATTGCAGTCTGTACAGCAGAGCTCAGGGAACAGTCACACCAGCACTGGAGCGCATCCCGGCCTGCTTCCTGCGTTCAGGGGCCATGGCTGTGCCATTTATGTCGATGGCACTGCAGGCACGCCCCCCTGCCCAGGTCCAGGAATGCCCTCCAGTCCAGGCCACTGCAATCTGAAAACATTGTGCTTGCAGCACTTTTTCAGGTCGCACTGGATGTGTTCTGGTGCAGTGATCACACTGGGGGGGGGGTTGGCTGCAGTGCCATTGACTTCAATACACTGCCACTGCCCTTGTTCCAGCAGCAAATCGTGCTGGACCGCACCAGAGCTGGTGTGGACCGGCCTTCTGAAAGGAGCAGGGAGATGCAGCAAAAGAAGTCAATCAGGTTAAAAGACGCATGTCCATCGTTGGTGTTGCAGTGCAAGGAGCATGCTGATGGGGGAGGAGAGAAAAGTGATGGAGAGATGAGCTCAACAGTCTGCTGCTTCTCCTTTCACTGTCGCATAGTAGCTGGAGACCTGTAAGTAATACTCCAAAAGTAGAAGATTAGATTCCCGCCCCCCACCCCTGCCAGGTAGGATGGAGCTGTGTGACAGAGCTGTGTGATCTTAAGACTGGATGGACTGAAATACAAACCCTTCAGCAGCTAAATCTGTTCCCATGTGCATTTAGCTGTGTGCTTGGAGTTCAGCTTTCAGTTGAATGGGGTTTTGCTCTGCTAGATGGTGTTCTCATTCTAAACCAACCCCAATTAGAATACACTCCGCCTGAATTGAGAAGCACAAAGTCCCAGGGATTGTTTTCACTGGATCTAAGTTGAGGTTTCCTCCAGCTGCTCATGTAAGCTGATGACTGCGGGCTGCAGGAGTGTGAGGTACACGTCATTGTCGTCTACATGAAAACAGAGGGGGGGGGTTAGGCCGGACTTTAAAAATGAATCAAAAAGGTTGAAAAAACAAATTGGCGTTTTTGACTGGAGGGTTCAAAGGGTCCAGTGTGCTCTCGGGGCGTAAAGGTCCACTCTAATATATAAATACTCCCATTTCTGTTTCATCAGAACTCTAGAAATGTAACAAGACTTTTCTTTACCTTTCCAGGTACCGCTGGTTCCCGAACAGAAGAGGAGGAGTCTCTGGATTTGGTGTCCCTCCCGCCAGTGCCAGACGACCAGCAGACGATCAGGCAGGAGGAGGTGGCGGCGGACGGCACAACTGGGGTCAGGGCTTTCGGCTGGGCGAACAGTGAAAGGAAATGGCGTCCTCGGAAGGGGAATCTCGTGTGATAAACTTTTTAACTTTTGAACTTGTAAGGAAAAAAAAATAAAAAATGAACTTATGCAAGAGGCAGCGAGTCCAACGACTGCCGACTCCACAAAATCCTGTATGGGCGTTACATCAAAGGCTTCTCAGATCTTCATTTACAAGTCGGGCCGTGGTGTACCTTCTTCTTGCCCCTACAATATTTCAATTAGATGACCGGCGCCACTCGATCTAGCTTTGTTCATTATTCTATATCCGTTCTGGTTTTTTTTTTTTTTCCATGTTATTGGGGAAGATTTCAATACAAGTGTTTCTCTTTGGAGGCGATGAGTACTATGGTAATGGTACCAAGAAGCTAACCGTTTGACCACTAAGCCTACCCAGCAACGGGCTGCCCGATCCTGTGTCAGTCCAGAGTTCCTTCTGTTGTCAGAAGGGTGACTAACATCTTGCAAATGTGCCGATTAAAATCTATTCAATGTAATAATCCAATAATGTGATTTTGGTGACGTTGGCATTCGGAATTCCTATTTTCAAACTCAATTATTAGATTGCCGTGAAAGGGGCTCCCCAGGCAAGCAGCTACTTATACAGTTTGAGTGCATATGTGTTTGTCATCTTGCCTGCCAACAGATTTGTAATTCAGTTGCGAGCCAGGTCCTGGACCTTTGCTGCTACTAAACAGCACAGCTTGGTCCTGGACACGCCCCCCTAGCCTGCTGATTGGACAGTGAAGGAGCAGCAGCTCACTGGGTCATGCTTGAGCTCTTGCTGTCATGTAAGCACATTCGGTGTTGGATGGGCAGCTGAGACTGATTGGCTGCTAGTGCTGCCCCTCCCTCTGCCAGTCTTTGCCCGGCTTTATGGAGGATTACAGGGAGATGATATAAAGACCCATTCAGGTATTTTGACTATTTTTATTAAAACTTTTTTTTTTGGAGTTCACGCAAGACAGATGTGCACCAACAATGCTGGGAATGGAATGCTTTTACTAAAGGGAAAGTACTATAAGGTGTGCAGGAAATATGCTTTCTTTGTTTGGCCCTTCCATGCCAAAAGGGCCCCCAGCCTCTGCTGCTTTTTTCTGTCAGCGATCGCTCCTTTCCTTCCATGGCTGCCGGTGTAATATCTATACTCCATACACGGGATTGCAGCCCTTAAAAATTGTCGAGCCTTTATTGCTAAGCAATGGTTAGCAACAAGCACTTCTCATTGGTCAGTGCTATCAGGTGACCTCGCTGACCAATTGGTGCTTGCCATTTGCAAGAGAAATTTGAACACACACCCCCCATAGAGGAGCAGATTATTGGATGTAAATGGTCTTTTTAGACCACCTCTGCCATGCATGTGCTTCTCCGATATAACTGGCTGTGGAGCAGTTGAGATGGAAGATGTGGACTTGTGATGACATCATCGATGGGTAAATCCACACAGATGTGGCCAGTCCTAGCTTCCTGTGGCTTAAAATGGCTGATATCACAAAACTACATGCCGTGCTATGCTGTGTGGCCAATAATACATCTTTGCAGAGTAGGATCTATCAGGACTTGTTCTCACCATGCCCATGGAGCTGTGTTTTTCTGCACACCACCGCACATGTATGGTGTGACCAGAGCACATAGAAACCACTGTCTTCTGTGTGCCCGCTTCATGCCATACATGTTGGCTGGGGTGCAGAAAAACAGGTCAACAGACATGATGTGCACTAGCCACGTAAAAATGTAACCCCCCTCCCCCATCCTGGAGCTTTTGTCTTTGTGAGGTTTATTCCTATTTTAGGTGGAGTAGAACTTAAAGCAGCAGTAAAGTCTGTGGGGTGGCACCACTTGGATAAAGAGACCCTGTCACCAAAATGAATAGCACAGCTATAATGGGTAATGTATTAGAGATTTAGTTATGTTTGCTTCCTCTGGGCAATGTTTTTTTTTTTTCTCCTCCAGAAAGTACCATGCTATCGGCAGATATATTACTATTATAATAGGGGGTATGTGTACAATCAGTGCTGAGTGACTCCAGGGACACAGCCCCAGGCCCCGCAGTTGACATATTGTCAGATTAGTGACATAACAGACGAGGGGGTAGTAGTGGGCATCTAAAAAGAGTACCATCTGCACACCCTGACATTATAAGGGCCCATAGACACTACATTGTACTAATGCATGTACATTCAGCATGGGGTATGCATCAAGCAGCCCCGTACAACGCATACATGGCTGACATCTGTGTGGTTGTGCCATTCAAAATGCGGTGCTTTATGTTGTGTTGCTCTGTGATCGTTCATGCTAAAGCCTGTGCAGTATTGTGTGTTGGTGCAGCGCAAGGGTGTGAGCAGGCCTGGTTCCTGCAGAAAATCATTGTCCAGAGGGGTCAGTAGGAAGATCTTCTTTATTGTCCAATGAAAATACTATTTGTTCAGGTGACGAGGTCTTGTTAAGGAAACTTCTGCAGCCTACGCTAAGAAGTACAATGCCAAACTCCTCCGCCCATGTCTATATGGAGCTGGCTGTGTGCACGGGGGGTACAGACTTGCTGGGATACTAAAGGACCTTCCCCAAATTTGGACGCACACTGTTGTCTTGTGTGGTAATGTTTGTCAATGGAGATTTCTTGGCTGCGTGCTCAGGTTTTACACTCCTGGGTTTGGAATGTCCAACATGGTCAGAGAGTTGTGATGGTCAGGTGTCCACAAACCTTTGGTCATAGCGTGTCTATTGGTGTGGATAGACCCGGCGTTTCTCAACCTTATTTCAGTCACGGTACCTTTTAAAGATATGCAAAATATGGGGGCACGCCAGTCTAACATTTACAAAACAATGTGCATGTAAAAAAGTAAATGGTGTGTAATTCCCCCTTCCAAATTTAATGCCAAACCCTTATCCTAGACGGGGGACTGGTGTGGATTTTAATTGCGCCCTCTAGTGGAGTCTCTGTATTAAAACATGGAGCACGCACCTTGGCTGTAGACTTAGTTATTGGTAAAAGTGAGTGATCGCCCTTGCAGCATTTCTACCTGGAATACTTTGTCCTGACTTCATTTTCTCCATTAAAATGTAATTCCATTTCTTTACTTTTCCACAATTATTTACTCTGCTGTCCTCCCCCATTTTATTTCATCTGTTCCTGGGTGCTCCTGGAGTCCACCTAATCTTCTATTGTAACCCCAGCTTAGGCGATGTCTACTACAATGTAGATCTCTAGAAAGGTGTTTGTGAGGCTTTTATTTTATTCTTTATTATAAAGGTCACATGATAATCGAATCAAACACAATTGCACGTAGTACCCAGTCATCTGTCCTTTAACAAAATGTAATAGAAGATCTCTTTGAATGTAAACATCTAAACCAAACGTCTAATGCATCAATTTCATTTTTGGATCTGATTGTAAATAAAAATTAAAAAAATGCTCTCTCCCCCACAAAGAGGAAAAGAGATAGAACATGGGGACATTGCCCATAACAGATGCTGGAGCGGTTTGTCTAAACTTACCCCCATGTACCTGTTCATCAATAAAATGACTGATTTGGTCATATAAGTTAATGTTGTGTGTTGCAGGGATGGATAAAGAGTAATAGAAGATGACATTGTTCCTGGAGAAGATGCTGTGCCAAGCTCCCTCCAGTGCTTCTCGGATAACCAAAAACCTAAGCCATTGGTCCTGGGATGTCAGTAGTTCCGCCAGTCCCATCCTCCCATCAGATGACCTAAGCCATTGGTCCTGGGATGTCAGTAGTTCCGCCAGTCCCATCCTCCCATCAGATGACCTATGCCATTGGTCCTGGGATGTCAGTAGTTCCGCCAGTCCCATCCTCCCATCAGATGACCTATGCCATTGGTCCTGAGATGTCCGTAGTTCCGCCAGTCCAATCCTCCCTTCAGATGACCAGACACCTAGACCTGTGGTTATGTAAGAAGCACTGTGGGGAGCTCGGGGCATCATCCCATCCTCGGATAAATTGTCACCTGAATATTGATAACATAACTTTGATTGCATTTGATCTTAGTTCCCCTTTAATAGCATACAAGAGCAGAAGGTCTCCATGGCCTTGTATGGAAGTACGGAAGGTCTCTGATGCTGCAGCGGACGGCTCAAGCTTGCCAGTGACAACTTTGATCGGAACATAGAAGCGGACAAATCGCAGTAAAATGTCTTTCTATGTATTGGCCTCCAAAAAGTCTTCTTTTGTACAGAGGATCTTTTTTTTGTAATGAGATTTTTGTTTGTAATGTTTTAAATTAAAGTTTCAAAGGAAATGTCATTCATTCGTATTTTTTTTCTTCAATCTTTCTGGAAGAATTATAAAAAAACTATTTGTCCTCTTAGGTGCAGATTCTCAAAACTCATTCAGATGCTTTGTGGCTCAGGGCCACGTCCTGGTTAGGTACTCCTTGCAAAGTGAAATTTCACTAAGTTAAGGGAAAATTCCCCTGAAAGTGCAAATCATTCGGCTTATTTGCCTTTTGTAAATCAACCCCCATGATGATAAAAGAGGTGTAAAGTCCCAGCATATCCCCTCCTGTTATAACATCAGCATTGTAATAGGTAAGGATGTCCCGATACAGATACTAGGATCGTTATCGGGGCTGGTATTGGGCATTTTCACAGGTACTTGTACTCCTGAAAATGCCCCGATACTAAAGGCCGATACCAGCCCTTTACATTCTTAAACTGGTTTGGCTGCCTGAGCTCCCACGCTTCCTGGGGAACACCAGCAGCTGTCTTTGACAGTGCCTGTTCGGCCGCTCTTGCCCTGCTCTTTTCCAGCACCCACAGAGACAGGCAGAGCAAATGACAGCTCCGAAGAGCCCGGCACCCACATGCAGCCCTGGTGAGACCCAAACAGCCCTGTATAATCACGGCTTTAGAGGACTACAAATCTCAGCAATGCATGATTGCTGGTTGCCATTATCCGTTGCTGAATAATCATGGATTGCTGAGATCTGTAGTCCTCTATAGCCGGTTGCCCTTCATTGCTGAATAATCATGGGTTGCTGAGATCTGTACTCCTCTATAGCCGGTTGCCATTCTCCATTGCTGACTAATGGGTTGCAGAGATTTGTAGTCCTCTATAGCCGGTTGCCATTCTCCATTGCTG